TTTTTTTTTTTTTTTTTTTTTTTTTAATGAATCTGAATTCTAGTACCGCAAGAGTCGGATTCCCCAAGTTGAATTCCTACATCAGCTAAAGCTCGTTTGTAATTTATCGTTTTTGGTTTATACTAAAAAATTTAATTTGAATGACATATTTTATATGAAAATGCAAATGGCCCATTATCAATACCCAAAATGATACTTCAAGAACAAATAGTGTTTCTAAGCTAAATTTAAGTTATCAATAATCTCAACTATGCAGGGCATAAAGTTTAACAACTTGAACTGAAGTTCAGATTAGTATCTATGATTGGAGAAAGTACAAAATCCAGTTAAATTTTTTACTCTGCAGTTAATTTAGTTATCACCTTTTATCTCCATATGGACAGCATCATAGATTTGAAAAGAGAGTCAGAAAACAGCTCAAATCTGATGATACAAACGAATCAATAATCATGAAAATCCATCCCGGCAACCCGTGGTAGAATAGGGACAAACCGCCCTTACATGTTACAGGGAACAACCTCTAACTAAAAGGTAATATATTATCATAACATCTTGAGAAAGGATTTTAAAAAGTATAATTTCATGCTTCTGTTGATTTTTCTGTCATCATCTAACTGAATTGATTACAGTTTAATTTCATGACTAATATAGTACCGCAATTATCTTTTAAGTACACAGCTTGTTTAACAAATAGTGGTACCCTCTTTCAAGCTCACGGGGTGGGTCACAGGGAAAATAATAGCAATCATATTACAGATTAACTATCACATTCTTAACTCACAATTTTAGAGTCCACGCAATCTTTTTAAAAGCCTATTCAAAATTACTTTACTATTTATTTGTTGTTGATATAGCATGATGGGTTCCGAATGAGTATGGCACTTTTTTTTTTCTGAGGAATTTATGTTCTTTCAGATTGCGACTACCGTACCAAGTTGCCGTATAAACTGAACTTCCTATACCTCAAAATGCACATTTTACCCTGCTATATAATCAAAACTAATATACAACATAGGCTTACATAATTGTTTGTTGCAGCTCGACACATGAAGCATAGGGTCCGAAGAGGAGGGAATCCATAACATGAATGCCACTCTTGCCAAAGAGAAGTTTCTTTAAAACAACTCAAATTCCACTTGCTCTCCTGCTGCATTACATTCTACATACTTACCACCCTTGCCCTGGGACTGTGGGGTCATCTCTGAAATTCCAAATTCGCAGAAGTCTGGAAGTTCTGGTGGGATAGCACAACGTATTAGGGCCCAATTAAGGCCTTCGAAGAAAGGGTGTTGCTTTATCTCAGCAGCCCCTTTCTGTGAACCCAAACGGTTTTCAGGTTCTTTAACCAACAACCCTCTGATGAGGTCCCTCGCTTGGAAACTAACAAATGGGCTGTCAGGGAATCTGAGACCTTGCAACACCACGTTGGCTAATGTTTCTTCATTATTACAACCTTTAAAGGGTGTTCTTCCATATAAAAGCTCGTAAAGAAAAACACCAAATGTCCACCAGTCAACTGCAGCTCCATGTCCCTCTCCTTTGATGATCTCAGGTGCCAAGTATTCATGAGTACCAACAAATGAATTTGATCTTGCATCTGTGGGCTCAGCCACGAGCTGTGGCAATGATCTGAGCTGAGCAGCAAGATCAGTTTTTAATTTCCTTGCTTTTGCTGCAGAAGGTAGGAGTCTGGGGCTGAAGCATGGAACTTGACATGATGGTTCAATACAGAATGGTTCAATGCAACTTGATTGTGCACAAGGACCAGAAATCTTAGCAGGATCTGCATCTGAAGATGATTTCAGAAGTGTTGGGCTAACATCACACCTCAATGACAGATCAAAATCTGTGAGCATAATGTGGCCGTCTTCTCGAACAAGAATGTTTTCAGGTTTCAAATCACGGTAAACCACTCCAAGCATGTGCAAGTACTCCAAAGCAAGAAGGACTTCAGCGACATAAAACCTGAGTGTACAAAGGTTACAAAATCAAGCTCCAATATTTGTTTGAATGTCACAAACAAAGTTGGGTTAAACTAGCAAAATTGCTGATAAGAAACACCTTTTAATTATGGTAGCTATCAAAGCAATTTGCACCTGAATAGCTATTATGCAGTATATCATATGTATGATATATTTATTGAAAATTTGCATGCATATATAAGGGCAACTATTAATCAAGACCAACAGCACACCTGTGTAATGACACATAATTTCAATCAAACTGTTTGGATAGATTTTACTTATTAAAACTAAATTGTTAGTTTTAATTCTTTTTAATTAGCTTAACCTTGTTCATGAAAGACAGAAATAATACTTTTGACAGTTTTATTTATGCAGATAAAAAGGCAAAAAAAATAAAATAAAATACAGATACTTAAATCAGACAAAATGGGAAGAAGAAAAACAAGTAGTTCTGTGGGAAAACTGGAAACTTGAAAATAACAACAGTAAACAAGAAATTGACAGTTGACGCAACTTTGTTTTATTAGACTAGAAGGCTGGTTTTAAAATAAGAAACAACTTACACAATTCATGTGTGTGCTATTAGTTGAATACACTATACAGTGAAAAAGATATGGTATTTATATTGAAATAACATTTCTATATAAATACCATATCTTTTTTTTTCATGTTGAACTAATCGTTGGGGGTAAAAAACATACAAAAAAACAAAAAGTAACTTCACTATTTCAAATCAGAAGCAATGCACTCTAGCAAGAACAATGTTATAGACCCAATGTTATGCTTTAATGGACGTTTCCCAAATCCACATATATGGATAAGCTGGCAGCAAAAAATTGCATAGAAAGCAGATGACTGTAACGTTAAAGGAAGTTCATTAACATTGAAACCATGCTTCCACTTCCACCATGGTGCAGGAGGAAGTTATTCCTACCAAATTTAATCAATAACTGAAAAGCCACTTTTTCCATGTTAAACAAAGTGGCCATCAAGAATAGGGATAGCACTAGCTAGCAGTGAATGCTGCAATGTAAAATATTCAGGGTACAGTGGCATTGGGATACTGGTTGTTTAGTAGGTGAATAGAGGTCGTAGAGTACATTTTTAGGCTGAAACATGGATGAAAAGGAACATGAATCACTTAAGTGGGTTGCATGACAGCAGATTGAGGAGACAGCAGTAATAACATGAAATATTCCTTAAAAAGCCTCACCAGTCAGTAACCAAAGTCAGTGGTAGGGTTTAATCACCTAATCTGATGGGAATTGAGATCAAAGTGGATTAGGAAAGAATACAACTATGGATTGGAGGTAGTTATTATTAGGAGTATATGTGGTAGAAAATAAATTATCTTGCATTAGCAGTTCTGTATTAGAAACTGCATGATTGCAATTATTCATAGAAAATGACAAAATGACTGATAGCAGTTATGCATTAGGAATATATATATCTGGAAGTAAGGTGTGTAATTGGGCAAAAAAGTTGTTATTTGCACTTAGTGGACAGAGTTCACTCTGTAGGAGACTGTCTCTGGGACATCGTGTGTTGCTGTATCATGTGTGATTTATGTGTTCACTATTATATTGTATTAGCTTATAAGTTGATGTTCTATCATTTTCTACGTTTGTCAATAATTGGAAAAAAAGTCCATTCGAAAAGGGTGAATGTGTGCTTAACCACCAAGTAACCTGAAGCACAATTACAGTGAAAAAAACTATTGACACCATTTCATAACTCAAGGATTTAAAAGGCAAGAAACAGATTTTTTTTTTTTTAGTTATACAAGCTGCACCCATATTTATATCCTTAATACAATATTTTAAAATTCACACAATCATATTGTACATAGTGCAACAACTAGGCATGTATTATATGAAATAAACATATCAATGTTTAAAAAACTTATTGTATACACTAGATACACCAGAAATGCAAGACAACGAATGATTAATGAAAAATGAACACAAGCATGATTCAGCAATTAGAAGAATTAAACAAATTTGATAGAACCAGTAAATACTCTAGGAATCATTTGTTGCATACCTAAACATTTAGTAGACAAGAGGTAGCATATAATATAATTCTGACCAAACAACAGAAAAGAAAATCCTAATATATTACTGAACAATTTCTGTTACTATGTACCTTGCTGCTGGCTCTGAAAAACTTCTACCAAGCTGTTTCTGCCGTAGAACATGAAGATCACCACCTGGACAATACTCCATGACCAGACATGACAAATTATCTGATGTAAACTGTGCGTACAGCGTTGGAAGAAAAGGATGATCTAGCATCCTTAATATTTCTCTTTCGGTTTGAGCCCTTGGCATCTTCTTCCTTCTTGCCAAAAATTCATTGTCCATCACCTTAATAGCAAACAAACAATGTTTGCCAATTAGTTCAGCAAGATATACAGTCCCAATGTCTCCACAACCTAGCTTCTTCAAAAGATTGAAGTTTCTCAAGCCCAAGACTCCATGCTGCATTTGAGCATGCTGTATAGCTTCCCATCTAGCATCCTTTGACATGTGAGGCCTATTGCCACAACTAGATCCACTGAGATTACTCTCATCACTGGTACTTGTACTACTACTGTAGTCACCTTGGCTACTCTTTGAACTTTGAGAAAGTTCAAGTTGCTCTTTCAATACAGTGTTCTTTTTCACTTTTGTAACTTCTGTGCTGCTATTACAGCCAGCTGATGCTGAGCCAGAATGCACAGTAACAGAGTTTATTCCGTCTCCAGGACTGATAGAGTCCAATGTTTCAATACCTTTGTTGTTTTCTATAGCACACCAACATCTCTCACAAACAAGTTGAGTTGCACCAGGAACTGACTTGTTATTTACTTCATTGGATGTAGGATCAAATAAAGAAGAAACTGAATCCTGCTTTGATTTTTTCTTACCCAAATTCTTGTTCTTGATAATCGATTTGACTGTACGAGGGGCATTGCGTGACATTTTGCACACTCTATTGCCATTTACTGGATTAGACAAGGAAGAGACTGTCTGTAACCTACCTTTCCGCCCATTCTTTGATACAGATGCTTTATTTCCTAATTTTTTAGGGGATGAATCATTTTCAGGCAACTCTAATTTACTTCCATTGGTATTACAACTAGATGGAGAAGATGCAGATGTTTGTTTTTCTATTTGAGCAGGCTCTGATGACTGTGACAGAACCCCAACTTTACTTGATGAACTAGCCAAGTCACTTTGCATCAATGAGGCCCCAGTACCAGTTTGTGTAATTACAACAGCAATTTTGGAAGATTGAACATTTTCACTCAGTGATGTGCTTTTAACAGCTTGATGAGACTCGGAAGTTTTATCCAAGGCAAGGGAGTTGCTTTCTTCTGGCACTTGAGATATTTCACTTGTACTCCCTTTACTCTCTACATTAGAAGGACCAGATCGTCTACCTTCAGCTACAACTGAATTATACAATGTCTGTATCTTCCCAACCTCAGATATTCTAGGAGAAGCAGTTGACTTTGATAATCTTTTCATGGCAGCCATTTCTGATGCCTTAGATATGCATAGGTCTCTTAATGCCTGCTTCAAAGTCACAGGCTCGTAAGGTCCTACTTGTGGAGACCGAGGAGCACCTGCTATAAGTGGTTTTTTCATTGCACTTTTCATCTTAGGGCTTGTACCTTCTTGTAAAAAGCTCAAATTCCTTGATGAAGATTTAAGAGCAATTGATTCAAACAGCTTATTAATATCATCATCTAGATTATCCTTGAATCCCTGTTTCAGCACAGGAGGCTTCTGATTTTTCTCAGCCATGCTATATCCAGAATTGGACTGATATATCCCTGCATCATTATCTGTATTTAGGTCTTCCCTTGCTTCAACAATTTCACAAGTGCCAGCGAACGAACCCATTAGAGATAAATTGTACCACCAACTTTGGTGTGGTAGAATTTACAGAAACAGTTTGACTCTCAATGCAAAAGTCAATTCCACTTTATTCCTCATGCAGTGTATTAGACAACATAAGTCTTAATGGTACATCCACATCTTTACCAGCTATGCGACATTGAAACCCTGATACAAAGGCCAGCATTTGAATGCATCAGCAAACAAAGAGGAAATATAAAAAGTTGTAAATTAAAGTATAAAGAAACAGGGAAGGACAAGAATTGACCCAAAAGAAAAATTCAAATGAAAACAAAGATTGACAACAACAAATTTAAAATGGTGAGAGAAGCTACAAAACCAGTAATCACACAAACCAATCAGTTGCAGGACAAGTGTCACCTGCAAGGAACACAAATCAAATTGCACATGAAACAGCAAGATACTACAAAAATCTAATTTGTTTTCCTTTCCAAAATTCTAACAGTTTGGAACTCCATGTGAAGATGAGAATACAAGACAATTTATCTCATAAAATCCAATAATTTTAAATATTCGGTTATTTAATAAATCAAACGAATATTAACTAGAAACAAACCAAGGACTAAATAACAGGATTTCAAAAATGAGTCATGCTTGATAGTCCGCACAATGTAATTCAGGCATTTATGCACAGGATCCGGTTCATATCAGCCACAGCAATCCCATAGCTGATTCAGCTTTATAGAAAAACAGCATCAAGTAAAAACTAGGTACTTTGAAGTGGAGCGAAAATATTTTCTTTCAATTCAAAGACTTCACCAATCACTGAAATTAACAGATCAGGTGAAAATCAAACCATAGTCATAAGCCAATTCTTTTCATGTTTACAACGACATTTTCCAATGAACAAAAAGTACGGACAGTAATGAGAATAAACTAAAGGATCAATATATCCCCCCAAAAAAAATTCAAATCACACACACAAAAAAAAAAAAAAAAAAAAAAAACCAATGAAGGTGATTTAAAAGATAAATTATATCAAACCATTCCGCTATATTAAAAATAAAAAATCCAACGCAAAGTAATTCACAGTTCCACAAAATGTAAAACTGGAATCTATATATATGTATATATATATATATATATATATATATATATATATAATAATAATAATAATAATAATAATAATAAAAATGCAGTTGATGTTTGTTACTTCCAGAATGTAGAATCCAAGAGAAGAAGCTTCTTCTTCTTCAAAGCGAAGTTTCGAAACCGCAAAAAAGAAAAGGTCGAAATCTCAGTAAACAGATTCAGACAAAAAAAACAAAGTTTACACGAAGGTAAAGCAAACAGCGTTCATCAGAGACAACCGGAACGAGATATGACAAATCAAACTGTTCAGACACCGAGCGCAATCGAAAACACAGAGGCCGCACCTGCAAGCAAACGAAGGCGCAGAAACGGAGCACATTGACGACGTAACTTCTCCGGCGAACGGAATCCACAGCACAGAACAGAGCAATCGAGATTAGAAACGCGGAAAGAGAAACCCTAGGCGAGCACGGAAGTGACGGAGGAAACTCAAAGGTGGAGAGAGAAAGAAAGAGAGAGAGAGAAGAAGAAGAAGAAGAAGATGCACAATGTTTATTTTCTTCGGTTCCACTTTCAGCACTGGCACTGATTATTTTGTACGAACAGACCCCATGTTCTCACAGACAAAATATTCTTATAACTCAAATAAATATGAGATATAGTTTTTTTTTATATATATAATTATTTATTATATTAATTATTTCTTTATTGTTGAATAAAGTTTTTAAATATGATTTTTTCAACAATTAAAATTTAAACTATTTCTTTTATGAAAATGATTGAAATTGTTTTAACTTAATTACTCATCTAAAATTAGAAAATTAAATTTTTTTTACTATAAAAATTGAGATAACAAACTATGTTATATACACTGGTACAAAATATTTTACATATGTGGTAACAAATCATAAGAAAATATATATTTAAAGAATTTATTAACTTTCATAATCAATAACTAAAAAAATCTTATAAAATGTGTTGACTGTGGAAAAGGACATAGTCAAAGTTATTAAACTAAAAATATTATGCATCTTTAACACAATTTATTTATGAAAATAACACTTATCATCTCATTAAACAGCGACATATAACACACGAATGATTTTCGAATATTTTTAACGATTTTAAGAATTCTTTTAATTTATATTTAATTTATTTTTATTTATTATAATTATTTATAAATTAAATTTTAATATTTTAAAATAAATTATTAATAAATAAAGATAATTTTATACTACAATATAAATTATTTATCATAAATCTAAAATATATAATTTTTATATTTATTTATTTAAATTTTAAATATAATTTATATACTTGAACATAATATTTATTTTTATAATAAAAAATAATAATAATTTATAAAAAATATGGAAACAAATATTTTTTTTTTTAAAGAAAGGTATCATTTCTCGATAATAAAATAAAAAGAAGGAAGGTATCATTAGAATTAAATTATTCACAAAAAAAAAAAAAATTG